CCGTCGATGGGATTTGAACACCCAACCTACCACTTGGGGGGTTGACAACCTGACCACTTCACTAGGTCGCCACACCCAGATCTTCTTTATATATATTACATCATTTACTATTCTAGTTATAGTTATTTAGTATTATTTTTTCAATTAAGTATTCTATAAATTAAATATAAAGATATTAATGCTACCTTATTTTCTAAGAACTTACTTGCATAATACTGTTGTATTAAATCTTTTGTAACATTATTATTATATATAATATTTTTATTTTACAGAGGCAGTCTTTTTTTAGAAATTTTTAATTTGTTATTATACTTTATCTTGAAATTGTTTATAAGATTTTATGTTTAATTTAACTTCTATTTAGATTATAAAATTAAATTTTTAAAATTTTTGCTTTTAGCTTAACTTGAACTATTAACCTAGTTTGTAAAAAATTGGCAGATTTATAAGATCCAATTCTTTTATAAATATATAGGCTAGATGCTGAGAAAAAAAATGAAATTGATACTTTTTTCAAAAGCTATCTTTTTATATAAATTAATTTAAAATAAGATTAAGATCATTTTTTACTTAAGACTTAAAAGTAGTTGTATTAATAAAATTTTGTAATATGTATAGCTTCTTAAAGTTTGCATTTTTCTATAATTTATTATAAGATTTATAATATAAAAATTGATTTTTCAAAGATCTTTTTTTTTGTTAATTTTATTTCTTTCTTAGAACCTAGCCTATATAATTAAAATCACAATAAAGATAATAGTTATTAATAAATATCAACCTTAACAAAAGCAAAAAATTTTCTAAAAATATATATATATATAATATTAAACAATTATTTAATAAAAAAACTAATAAATATTCTATAAAATAAAAAAAATAAATATGAAATATAATAACTTAGTAAAATAAATAAGTTGCCAACCTCCTAAGTAGTAGTTTGGATGTTCAAATTATATTAAATTATATTGATAATAAAAATTTAGATAATAACCTATATAATATTTGTATTATAGCAACTGTTTCTAATGATTGGGTTAAAATACCTATAATGTCAATTGCATTAGTATGATTGCCAAGTTATAAAGCATTCATATAACAGATTATACAGAAAAATATAAATTAGCATTAGGTAATACAATTATTAGATAAGTTTTCATAATTATATAAATTTGTTGAAATTGGAAAACAAGAAATTTATTTAAAAAAGATCTAAGTAAAAAGGTAGTACAAATTTTTAATGATATTACTGTAAAGACTAAATCTAGAAAATAGATATTAATATAAAAGAATTAAATAGACAAGAACCTTAGATAAGAGGTACTACTAGTTAAGCTACTGGAAGTTTTGAACTAAAAGAAAAAATCTCAGAAGGTAAAACTCTAAAATACTAGAAACAAATCATAATCTTTTTAGACTATCTAGATTGAAAGTCTGATATCAAAAATAAAAATATGTATACTATAAGTACTAGAGATATGCTGTAAAATGATACTGGAATTTAATTAAACTTTACAAAGACAAATCCTGTTAACAAAAACTAAAAATGAATAGTTAGTTAGCAGAAAGGCCTTTTGAAACTCTATAGTTAGGTAATATACTCTAAAATATATAATGACTTAATGAATATACAAATAGAAAGATCAAACTTAGGTTTGACAACACTTAGATGTATAGAAACTTATATACTATCTGTTAGGTATAATATAAGAATCAAAGTGTTTAATTCAGTAATTTTCTAGCAAATTATAGGTATGACAGCTAATGTATAATCTGCAAGCAAACTACTTAAATAGATAGTTAAAAGCTGTATATGTGGCTAGTTGCATACTTATCTTGTACAAATTACATAATTATAATTAAAATTACAATAAAGACAGTAGCTGCTGATAACCAATAACCTTAGCAAAAACAAAAAAAATAAAAATAAAAAAATAAATAAACAAAAATATAAAAATATTTAATAAAAAGAAGTTTAGTTTAAAAAAAAATATATTCAAATAGAAAAAAAACTAAACTATGAAAAAAAAAATAAAGATAAAAAAAATATAATTTGATGCAATAAAAAATTACATTTGTAATAAACTAAAATTATTTATATATGACTTTTTAAACTAACCTGATACGTATAACTTATAAACCTGAATACTACCTTAACTAATGTAACAAACTACCTTTAAGCATTTATAAAAGCAACTAAAAGAAGTCAAACCAGAAAATTAAATCAAAATATATACAAATTTATAAATATAAATCTTAATAAAAATTAAGAATAAGACTACCAAAAAATTAAAAAAAAATTATATTATTAAAATATTAATTTCAATCAAATGCAACTTCAGTTACAATTTTAAACAAATATTAAACAAAATTAGTATTAAAAATAATATTATTGTGTAAATCATTTAGATTTTTGTATTTATAATTGAAATTCTTAAAACTATCTAATGAATATCCATTTTATTCGCGCTGATTAGTCTAAGTATAAAAATTATTGCATTTAAATTTATGAGTCGTATGAATAACATGAAATAAATAATAATACAATTGACGATTATAAAGAGGTTCAGATTGTGAAAAATGTGCGTATTGTAGATAATATAATACGGTAATGAATGGTGTCAGGTATGACTACTTAATGATCGATCACCTATCAACCGACCATACTCTCAAAAAAAAATTTTATTATGATCGATCACGATCAAACAAATCAAATGATCGATCATTCACTAATCGATCATCATCTTTAGTCATTATAACGGGATCAATTATTCGTAATTCTTCCTTAAGATTATTACGAGCTAACGTATCTATTTCCTTTGATACTTGAGAAATTATTTTCTAAAAATTAAATATATATTAATAATATTTCTTAGATGAAGAGTATAAAATCTGTGTGCACGCAGTTCAAATTGACAATAAAAATGTCGGTTTAGATTTTATACTGCTTATATCGTGTCAAGTCTTGTCACAACAAATACATGGAATATTAAGAAATTTTCGGTTACAAAATTGCAAAATTGGAATGTCAATATAAACCAAGCAAATTTTTATAAGTTTTTTTTAAATCTTTGAACAAAATAATTCAACAGAAATTAATCAAATCCAATGAAATATTCTAAATTAATTCTTTAAGTTTGTAGAATTGTTTAAAAAATTTTATCAAATTTAAATTTCTGTTTTTTTTTCAAAGTTTAAAAAAAATTTTTTTATTATCAGAAATTTGCTTGATTTCTATCGATTCACACTCGAATTCTAAAAATTTGTTGCATAAATTTAATCATGATCCATTATTCCAAGGCTCACTGCAGCAAGGCTTGACTACATATAATATTTGTCTACCTTAAATTTTCCATCAACTTTTAGCACACTTTCTATAAAATTGGCCGCCACTATATTGGACGTCCCTATCAGTAGTTTGTTGTATACTTCCACAAGCATGTCACACAATGTATAGAATGTCTGAAAATAATCCAAATCGAAAGGCTATAGAGATTGGAAGAATAAAATTCTTAGATGCAATAGATCATAAAATTTATAGAAAGTACACGAATTCCGCTTACTATATTTGGCACCAAAAGGTATGTGTACTCTCCACTTTCTTGAAATGATGAATCCTCAGGTTTTGTTATTTTTGATTTCCTAAAAAATATTTTCTTCATGATAGATGTTTAAGACTCGTTAGTCTTATTCGACTTAATAAATGCACGAATGAATATGCAATATGTTTACCATTTTTTGTTTCGAGTGATCATTGGTATGATATTCAAATTCTTGTAGCATCACGTTCAGGGCTTTGACGTAGTCTTGTGGGTTACTTATATCAAGTATTGATGCCAATGAGCAACCAAGAATAAAAAAGTTTCCTGTACTATAAAGTAAACATATTCAGTCAAAATGCTGTGACTTTAAGATGCTGTCATATAATTGACTTTACCGTTTCTTCATTCTGACATTTTCGTACATCAATCCCAGATCTTCTTTGCTTAAACATACGGTGTTAAACCAATGTATCCTTCCCTCATGAACTCGCTTCAAATATGAAAAAGTCGTTATACGTTTTTGTACAAGCTCATATAAAAAATCATATGAAGACGTTGTTCCAATATGATCTGATGAATTGGAAGGTGAGCGAGGACTTGGTGTTGGAAAGTGTGCAGACGGTAAAATTGTCGTCGCAGTGGTATTCGGTGTCAAGGACGCATTTGCAACGGTTGAATTTGATTTGTCCATGCGCGTTATTTTATCCCAATGTTTTTATGAACATGCGCAATGACTTCTATTTACGTAGAATTCTAATGGTATTATATTTTTAAGCTCAAATTCAAATACCATAACCTTAAAAAGATGAACGATCCTATAACGCTAAGGTCGAAAGGTCTAAATTGACAGTAATTTTACGTATGGTGAGACTAATGTAATTTATCCATCTTGCACAAAATGATTGTAATACAAACATCAAGTATTTTAAATATTTAACAATCATCGCGTGGTTAAGGTCACGATTTTTGATATATAACAATTCATAATGGAAGAATCACCACAAAGTGTCGGAGAAACTAACAATCACAACATTGTTATTGGTGCTACTGGCTCTACTATCGCTGATTGTATAGAAATACTCGATGATAATGACATATCATTGCAGACAAATCAAAGTGTGAATATTCAGAGAAATGAAAGTATAGAGCTTGAAGAAGAGGCTGACACTGATCCCGACAAGATTATGTACGAAATCCCAGTTTATCTCTCCCAAAAACTCTCAAACAAACTCTTTATAGTTCAACACCCTGTCCGGCCACGCGCAAACCCATATATAGGTAAAAACACACCACGCGAAGCGCGTTTCAAGCCACATTCGCAAAAGCTCGAACTTGATATCCCACTACAAACCACATCCCAATGGTATGATCGGGATAGAGGTGCAGAATTAGCGTTGGGACTTAATGATAAAGAAGCTAGAACAATTTACGATCGTACATGGAAACTTGATCAATATGATGGATTATTAGACAAACAAACATTGCAGTCTACTGTTGTTCCACCACAAGCAACTTATTGGATGGGAACGATGAAGAATAGTAAGTATATGCAAGTAATTGAACCGATTTAATTGCTAGTATTTACAATCATTCTATTACTTTTTAGACGCCCTTCACTTGACACCTGTTCATGCAACATTACAATTACGCCCAGGATTAAAATATCATGACAAGATTGATGAAAAAAATAGAAATGCTAATAAAAAGGCTCAAGTTCTTGAAGAAGAAGATAGTATTAATGAATTAAAAAGTTCCCGAATGGCGTCTGATGAACAAAGCATTGTTTCCAACAAAGTTAGAGGACCTGGAAAGGGAAAAGTTCCTATGGTAATTTATTAGAGATCATAAATATTATTTGACAAATTCTATTTAAATGTACTTAATTCTCTATTAAACATTATATTAGAATGCTATTACGGATAAAAACACGGATAAATCATTGCTTAAGAAAAACGCCCGTCCAAAATTACAACGAATAGGAGAGGAAGAATCATGGATTAAGATGAGGTATTATGATGCTGAGGTAAGATAAATAACCAACGACACATTAATATCCTAATTTGCTGATTGTATAACTGTTTTCTTTTAAATCTAGTCCATAGAAACAGATGAAATATTTAATCAAATTCGCACGATACAGACCGATCCTTTGGTGTGTACTACAACTAATTTAAACGAGTATCTTGACAAAATAAGCGCTTTTCCAACGACCGTTAGTGATGATCCAATTGTTGTGGATGAAATTGTGAATCGACCACACAATAAACTTTCTACTAATTTGAGGACTGATTCTATATCTAAATCCACTGAACTTTTACCCGCTAAGCCTCAACTCAATTCCACTACGAGGCCAGCTCCTAGTAGTTCAAAGAGCTTGAGCTCAAAAGGGACAAGGGTTAGTCCTTCAAGGGGAGCTAGAGGATCACGAGGAGGAATAAGAGGAAAACGAGGTAGTGCTTGGACCCGGATATCCGGATAGACATTCTATTTAGCCTGAATTTTTAAATAGATGTTTATTCAATAATAAAACTCATACTGGAGGATTCCCAAAATTCAGGGTCGGAATGCATCGGAATACTTGTCGGATGGGCCAGAATTTATTAATTTTGCCCAAGATCACTAAAAATTTTACTAACGAAGTCATAATTTGCTATAGGTTATCGCTATTTGGCTAACATAATGCCGGCCCTGCTCGGATGTATTCCGACCCGAAATTTTGGAGATTGCCTGTAAAAATAATAATTTGATTCTAATACTGTTTATATCTGGTTTACACTAGTTCATTAGGAAGCAGACACGGTAACAAGGTTATAAAAATTTTATGAGAATGAGCATAACGATAAATGTCATTTATTATACAAAATCATGACAAAATGACAGGTCAAAAAAATATTTTTATAGATGATATTAAATGACAAATAAATAACAATATGTAAATATGCATATAACTATAGAATTCTTGTATATTTTAAAATTTTTTGTTATTTGATTTTAGAGTTTCTATTTGTACAGGGTGTTTGAACACGGATATATAGAAAGCCAATCAGATAACACGATCAGGTGTAACGTTGAATTACGTTCTTTAAAAAATCGGTTATCGTTATGAAACCGTCTTTTGGGTATTAATTAAAAAAATTCCTTGCGAATTTCGGTATAAACCATTTCCCGCTCCCATCCCAAACTCATCTTTCTTCAGTGTTTAATTTTTCGGTTTATACTGAACTTTCTAGACTACCATTTTAGATGGCCCAGTATAATATACTTATGTTTTTTTTTTTTTGTCAATTCTGGTGGCCTGGTTAGTTATATGTTTTTTTATACATCTTGTTATCTGATTTATTTACTTATCTCTTTAAAGATGTTTTATAAGCTTTCATTAGTTTAACAACATCATCAAAAATTTGTGTTATTTTTTTATTCAGAATTTTCAAATAAGTTTTTAACTTAGTTTCTTAGTTTTTTATACCTGATAGTTTTATTGTAGATTTGCATCAAAGTTTTTTTTTTTTTAACTTAAGCAGTCATGCTGGTACTTTATTAGAATTCTTGAAACTATACAAATTACAGAGAATTTTTTTAATAACTAAGTTCAGCATCATCTGGTCATCTTATTGGTACCTAAGTGCAATTTGTCATATTATCTTAAACAGAGTTAGACTGCTTGTCTAATTGTTACCTTACAATAGGATATCACTAATCTGATGATGTCTTCTCATAGAGAAGCAAAAAAAAAAAAAATTATATATATAAAAAAAAACAAAGGTATAAGAATAAATAATAAAAGATACAAAACAAGAAATAAAAGAGGAAAAGAAGATAAATAAGAAAAAAGAGAAGTGAGAAACTTGCAATTTATAAAAAATCAGACAATCATAATTTTAAGCCTATGTCAGGTGTGAAACTTGCAATTCATAGATATCAGATAATCACAATTATAAGCCTGTGTTGAACTTATAAAAATTATAAATTATACTAAATAGAAATTACTTTACTATCTTCCTATTTACTTAGATTATTCAAACAAAAAACTAAAAACTTTAACTTTATTATAGAGGGTCAATATAAAATACTAGTTAGTCTGGATGCAATATTTCACGGATTTCTAGCAGCTCGAGGCATATATATAGTCATATTTGTATTATTGTATTATTTTTAATTTATATCATCAACAATTCTGTTTAGAAAATAAATACTACTGATTGTTTTAGTAATTTTACATATTGATTTTTAGAAGAAGGCAAACTGAATCACTTACTTTTACAAAATTTTCTTGAAAAAAAATAGAAGTGCTAGGTGAATCAACTTTTAGTTTTTATAAGTTTTGAACCTTTATAGGTGTTTCTTATAGATTTTATAATTGTATAAAACTAATATATTCAACTTTGTTTTTTACTTAATGAGAAACCTTGGTTTTTACTAATTATTTCTTCTATAGTCTCAGAATGTTTTTTAAACTATTACTACAAGGTTGTAACTCCTTTTCAACTCTATTTCAATGTTTAATAATGTGTATACAATATTTCAAAAATGTTTTTATAAAGTTTAATATATTAACTATATTATTTTTTAGTAATTTGGCTTTTTGAAAAGTTTGGTTTAAGTAATTATTAGAAAGAGTTGTACTTTTTATTTAGTTTTGCATCAAAGTCTTATGCAATATTAGTTATATATATATATATATATTTTTTTTCTTCTTTCATAATTAGAAGATTCTTAGACATCTTGGGATTTTTCTTATTTCCTAAGGTCAGTATTGTTATTATTATAAAGATCTATGGAATAATAAAATGATCTTTGTATATTATTGCATTAGTAAGATAACTTATACTTCATTAAGTTTACTATATAATGTTTTAGGTTTTTGGTCTTGTGATATAAGACTTATATTATCTAGATTTGCAGTTTCTTAACTTTATATAATCTACTAATTGGATCATTTTTTTTAGATTGAATTTATTCAATTTTAGTGTTTTTTGTTAATAGATTATATCTTTTTTAGTCATCTTTGATCTTATAGTTATGTTGACAGATAATATATATAAATCATTTTTTGTTTGTATTCTTATAGAACATTAATTATAATTCTAGTTGAGTTTTGTCTTCTAGTTAAATTTGAACTCATGATCTTGTAATTGTAACTTGAAATGTTAACTATTGTATTATTGACTTAGAGATCTTTTTTATATTTTTTTATATATATATAATATTATATTTCATATAAATGTTCTAAGTTTTATTAATTTATTATCAAATATCAGAAGAGATAAAGACATTAATGAAATATATAATATTAAATATTATTATCTTAATAGGTTTTCTGAGTTTAGAAAAGTTTTTTTTTATTTTTATTTTTATTTTTTTAATAATTTAACTGGTTTTTCTTTTTTTTTTAGAGAATTAGTACCAGGATTGATTAAGGTTCTTATTTTGCTTCTAGCAATTGAGAATTACTAAAATTACTAACAATTCATTTGTGCTGATTAACAAACTTTTTATACCAACCTTTTTTTTTTTTTTGTGCTAGCATTTCAAAGTTTCATAGTTATTAGAATAAATAAAAATTCAAGCACTTTCATACTTTTTGTTTTAGTTATCGACACTAAATATTATTATACTACATAGAATTGATAAATGTATATAAAGCATTCATATCAAATATTTGCAAAAATGAGAATGCTGATGGAATAATTGCACTTGACAACTATTATAAGGATGGAACTGAAAACAAAAAGAATAAGTATAAGGCATTTATTTATTATCAAATATCAACAAAGATGAGGATGTTAATAGAGCATATAAGTACTACAGCTAGTACTGCTAAGAGAAAACCTCAAACTAGGAATTTAAGTATATTATTTATTATTTGCTAGATTCAGCTGTAATCCAAAACATATGTGATACAATGTTATGAGTATAAGCAGAAATTTTATTTCTACTTATACACATAGAACCTAGCATATAACTATTACTTGTGTATCTTATATATCACATATGTTTTGAATTACAGCTAAATCTAACAGATAATAAATAATATTATATACTTAAATTCCTAGTTCAAAGTTTTCTCTTAGTGGCACTTATACAATGTTGGATATTATCATCCTAATAGGTCTTCAGAGTTCAGAAATTTTTTTCACTTTCATTTTTTTAATAATTTTAACTGATTTTTTTTCTTAATCAGAAAATTAGTGCCAGAATTGAATGAGGTTCTTATTTTGATCTATTCTATTCTAGCAATTGAGCATTACAAAATTACTAGCAAATCACTTGTGCTAGTCAACAAACTTTTTGTATCAAACCTTTTTTTTTGTGCTGGTATTTCAAAGCTTCATAACTAGCAATTGCACATCACTAAAATTATTAGCAAATTACATTAGAAGTAATACTTGTGCAATTGTATATATAAAATAATTTTAGAAAATTTCTTAGTATATAATTTTTATTTATTAAAAAATTTATTAATAAATTTTTTTTTTAAACAACTTAGAATTTTTATTTTCACATAATTAAATCTGATTGGTCAACTCTAGGTTACAATAATGACATTATTATAAAATACTATTACACTTTTTTTTTATATATAGTATGAAATAAAAATATTCTGAGTTCAAAGCATACTCTATAAGGCATGTTGAGGAGTTTTGTATTCTAACTTTTGAACTTTATTTTGTTACAGTATAAATTCTTTGTTTTGAAGTATATATTATTTATAATGTATATCTATTAGAGATGTTTAATTTTTATTAATACATAAAAAATACTATTGCAATCCTATAAGATATAAAATCAAAGGTTGTACCTTTTGGTATACAATATGTAACAAAGATGTTTTTTCTGCTGTATCAAACATTAAATATATGAAAGCACCAAAAAGATATACTATTTCTGATAATTTTAGTATTGTTACAACATGAAGCAAACCATCAAGTCTAAATATCATTAAAGGTTCTATCAAATATATAGACAACTGTCCAGTTTATTATATAAAATATGGTCTAAATTTTAAGTTAGAGATAGTATCAAATTATTTCTTTAGCAATGCAGCAACAAAAGTTCAAGAGGTAGTAATCTTATTAGGTTTAGTTATAGTAATAATATATATATAAAATATTTATCAAAATTATTGTTAGGCAATAAATGAATTAAATAAAGATTTAAACAAAAGTCAGATGTCAGGTTTTTTACTTTTTGGTCTTCATTTTAAACAAGTTCAAAAAGGTCAACCATATATTAGACCTTTGAAACATTTTAATAAAATAAGTATTTCTACTAAAAAATCTTGTGCAAGAACTTTTGCAAAAAACATTAAAGAAAATTTTGATCAAATTGCCAAAGAAAATTATCATTTTAATAATCAAGTTACTCTTAAGAAACTGTTTTATACAGTTGCAAATATGCCTTTTCAAATAGAGTTTGGATCTCAGAATAAAATAAAAAAAAATAAGCATGAATTAGAAATAGTACAAATAATTAATAAGT